AAGTAAGTTCTGCAGGAGGGAGGGAAGCAAGAGGGAAAACGAAAGTAAGTTCTGCAGGAGGGAGGAAAACAAGGGAGAGAACGAAGTAAGTGCTGCAGGAGGGAGGGAAGCAAGGGAGAGAACGAAGTAAGTTCTACAGGAGGGAGGGAAGCAAGGGGGAAAATGAAAGTAAGTGCTGCAGGAGGGAGAGAAGCAAGGGGGAAAACGAAGTAAGTTCTGCATCTCTTCTAGAGGCTGTTCCAAGGTTCTCAGGCATAGCAGCTACATATCTTCCTGTACATGGACTGGCTGTTACCAAAACATCCTGCCTGAACTTAACTGGTCACGGGGTGAGTGATGCGGAGTAGGTAAGGGGGGGAGAAAGGTTAAACTTGGGGCTTTTGGCACGCAGTTGTCAGTTCTGGCTATGCACTATTGCAGTATTGACCTCTAATAAAACTATGCCTTTCTCAACAGCTGGAGCCAGTGGTGGGATTCAAATATGTGAGCAACTGGTTCTCTGTGTGGATACCACTTCTGGAAGTCCATTTTGTGCCTGGGCAACACAAAATTAGCTACCGGTTCTGCCGAACTGGTGCAAACTGGCTGAATCCCACCACTGGATGGAGCCAAGGATGGTTTTTATTTAGAGCAGGGGTAGTCAACCTTGGCTCTTTTATGACTCGTGGACTTCAACTCCCAGAATTCCTGAGCCAGCAAAGCTGGCTCAGGAATTCTGGGAGTTGAAGTCCACAAGTCATAAAAGAGCCAAGGTTGACTACCCCTGATTTAGAAGTTTAATTGCCAGCAGGTCTGACGCATTGAGGGGTTTCCCCACCCTGCAACTGGGCTGTGAGAATCACCTTGAGGAAGAGGAGGAAGAGACGCAGCCAAGGCAGCGGTGAGGTAAAAAAATTCTGTGTCCAAAATAGGAATGCAGTTTGAGAAAATGTCTCAGGGTTTTTATCCTTCTTGGTTCATTTTGGGATAAAGGCAGGGAACCGGGAGGCCCACTCAGACTCTGTTTCTGTAACCCTGTAAGAAAAGTAGTTCTGGTATTCATGACTTTGGTGTCCAAGTCTGATCTACTATATCTGGGATGGCAGACACCCCTTTGCCTCAGGCTTCCAGTACTTGAGGGGCTGTCACAGAGGAGAAAGGTTCAACCTATTCTCCACAGCATCTGAGGGCAGGACAAGAAGTAATGGGTGGAAGGAAGCTTGTTAAAGAGAGAAGCAACCTGGAACTAAGGATAAATAACCTGTCACTGAGGACAATGTTTCAGTGGAACAATCTGCGTCCAGAAGTTGTGAATGCTCCAACACTGGAGGTTTCTAAGAAGAGACCGGACAGTCCTTTGTTTGAAATGGTATAGGATCTCCTGAGCACGGGGCTGGACTAGAAGACCTCCAAGGTCTCTTCCAGCCCTATTATTCTATGTTATATGTTCACTCAACAGGCCGAAATAGAGGCAGTTCTACCTGGAAACCTGTTCAGGCTGTCTTTGAATTGACCAACATGGCTTCGGTACGAGAAGTGTCCAGTTTCACTGAAGACTTGCTGTGCCCCATTTGCCTCTCCCTCTTTCGGGACCCCCACATGCTGGAGTGCGGCCACAGCTTCTGCGCTCCCTGCCTGGAGCCCTGCATCCCCAAGGGGCAAAGACGTGGGCTCTGCCCCGAGTGCCGGCGCCCCTTCGCTTTGCGCCGCATGACCATCAACCGAGCCCTCTGCAGCTTATCCGAGAAGGCCCGGCTCCTGAAGCTGGATGAAGGGGCTCAGCTGAGTGGCACCGGCAGCTGGTACTTCTGTGAGGAACACGAGGAGCCCCTCAAGCTCTTCTGCAACCAAGATGAGGAGCCCGTCTGCGTCATTTGCAGGGACTTGCCTCAGCACCGGGGACACGACTTCCTGCCCATCAAAAATGCGGTTCAGACCTATCAGGTGAGAGCTGATCCTGGGAAGAGAAAGAAGGTGGCCTCTGGTTGAACAAGACACTAATCTCTCTCTCATTCTCTCCGTCTTCTCTCTCTCTGTGTGTGTCTTCTCTCTCTCTCTCTCTCTCTCTGTGTCTCTTTCTTATCTCTCACTCTATCTGTGTTTCCCTGAAAATAAGACCAGGTCTTATTTTTTTCCCTCCAAAAAAGGCACCAGGTCTTATTTTCGGGGGATGTCTTTTATAGTCACCTGCAGCACCGATAGCCTCACCTAGCCGGTCCACTTCTTCTACGGCCGAAGGAGCAGCTTCATTCTGCAGCTGCATTCGGGCCTGTATTTTGCAGTCAGGCCTTTCCAGAGGTTCACTGAAGCCGAGTACCGAGCTATGGATTGAATCCATAGCTTCGTTCTTGGCTTCAGATGTCTTGCAGAACCTTCTCAGCTGCAGTGGCCTTTTGGAAAGGCCTGTGACTGCGAAAAGATGTGGGCCGGCGAGGAGAGGCGTGGTTGCAAAGTAAGTGGGTGCAGGACGCATGGGGCAGCTTCACCCACCCACCCCGTCCTAGCTTGATTTTTAGGTGTGTGCCTTGCCCCTAAACTAGGGTTTATTTTGGGGGTAGGGCTTATATTAGGCCCACCCCAAAAATCAAGCCAGGACTTTTTCGGGGGAGGCCTTACTTTCGGGGAAACACAGTCTCTCTCTCTCTCTCTCTCTCTCTCTCTCTCTCTCTCTCTCTCTCTCTCTCTCTCTCTCTC